TGGCATGGCCCCGGGCGGAGCGCTCGGAGCGGCCCCGGGCGGAGCGGCGGCCCCGGCCCCGGCCCTGCTCCGGGGAAACGCCGCCGGTGCCGCCCCTCCCGCCTCGCTCCAGGCGCAAACCCAGCCGAGGCAGGGGAGCTTGCACCGAAGCGGCCGCGTACGAAAGCAATAGTCTTCGTTACCTTGCGAAGCAATAGTCCTCATTAAACAGTCATTAATGTTCTTCTAGCAGCCGCGGTGCAAGCCGGCACTGAGCTGAAGTTTTAACAAATCTTTGTTATTTCGTCACAATCCTAATTTAAGGTTCGTGACAGCCAAGTGTTTTGGGAGGGAAGCAAATACAGTTATGAAAATTTAAGTTTGATTTACTTCCCCGGCACCGACACTCGAGTCAGCTGCCCATGCCCTGTGATGGCTTGACTGACACCTTTACCTGCCTTGCTGCTTCTTTGGCACGACGTGCCAGTCACATTACTCAGAAACGCCTTTCCCACAGCATTACCCTCTCTCTACTTCCACGTGGTGCAACTTAATACTTAATGTTATAGCTTATATTTGAGGGAACTTTCTTCTGTCCTTTCTTCCAGAGGTTGGGGAAATTTTTTTTTTTTGCCTTTCGTGTTTGGCTTTGGTTTGTTGGTGAAGCAGGTTTTTTCCCAATTAATGCTTTACAGATGTAAAACAGTATTTTCCCCTCATTTTACCTCTCTTGTGGTCTATTTAGGACAATAGATACAGTGGGAAGGTAAGCAATTATTACATTCACTAGCCTTTGATTACAATGACTAACAAAAGTTCTGATCCATCCTACCACATTTTCAAGATAGTTTTACTTCCTTATTTTTAGGATGGGTTTTGTAGACTAACAGCCAATAAATCTAATACATAAGACAACTACTGAATTTCATTTCCCCCTTCCTTTATTTTTGCTGTCAGCAGCTGCCTTTAAAGTACTTAATTTTAGGGTAGGAAATAAATGCAGCTCTTTAAAATATTCTTACTCTTTTATTTTTAGGCTTTTTTTAATAAATTAGTACTTTGCATTTCAGAAGTCCTAAAACCAATTCAGGGAAGGGGAGAGGGAACATAGGCAAAATTAATAATCAAAAGTCACACCCACATCCCACCCCACTGGGATTTTATTTTCCCTGATTGATGAATCAGAAAGCAGAACTCTCCACACTATAGTCTTACATGTGCCACTCTAATTACACAGGACTTACATCACGAGTAAGAATTTTGTGTTATGTTCAGAACTGCACAGGCAGTGTCTGGATCAACCCTCCAAAGCCCAGTTTTTGAGATGGGAGCAGAGACAGGAACTGCACGGGAAGAGGCACACCTCATGCAGATTGAAGTTAAGTTCAGTGGCACTGCATTTCAACACTGTGCTCCATCCATCACTCAACTATACTCACTCATTTTATGCCCTTCTGAGTAGTGTTACTCAGCAGCTTCAGTAGAGTCTCACCTCAGTACTGAGTACAAACACAAAGTAATTTGAAGGTCCTGCTTTAATTTAGAGTTGGTCCATCAGTGTCATGTCACTCTTTTCAGTTAAAAGGAAACAAAGAGACAGATCTGTAGCTCAACAGGACCACTGATGTGGAAATTACATGAAGTTGGCAAGCACAGTTAGATAACAGTTAATCATAATTGTCTACTTTTCTTAAACACAGAAAGCAAGAACGTTGGCCAGTATGCTTAACTCAGCAGTTGCCAAGGCATCTGTGTGCTCATGGTAATGCATTCTTTTTTTAAGATGAAGTAACAAAGTAGACAATGCAGAGTTCACACACAAGACAGCATTTCTCAGGAAGCCCTTTATTAAGTCAAGGCAATAAAGAAAAAAACTACTGTTATTCACCATGCTTCTCATCTTGAGGTGGTTCATACTGAGCCAGCTGTGGATTTAAAGAAAGGAATTTAGTTAGTAGCAATATTTCATGTAACACTCCATATTAAGAAGTGAAGGAAAATATATGGTCTGGATTTGTTCATTTACTTTATGCATTTTAACTCATCCTTATACAAGTCCATTTTCAAGTCAGGCAATAAAGTAACTCTTCTCCCAAAACATCCACTTCTCACGCTGTATAACCATGCAGCCATAACAAGGTGATTTTTAAATGCACTTTGAAGCACATACATCTTGGCCTTAACTTTTCCCTGTTCCTAGTTCTAGCAGTCTTTAAGTACTTTCATCTTAAATAGCAGTTGATAGTGACTAAGGTACTATAAACTTTCACTGAAACATGATTAAATGAAACAGTCATTCTCATTGCAATAGTATCCAACCTAACATTTCTTGTAATCTTTCTAGCTTCCTTTTTGCTTTCTGGAGAGTATAGCCTGGGCAACTACATACTTAAATATGACCTTTACTTGTAAAGTTACTACCAAAGAAAGATACAAAGTTGTTCACATGACCTCAGTGGCATTAAAGATTAGGTCAAGCTTCAAAAACCGTTCAAGAATTACGGCCATCTCTCTAAAATATGCTGGTTCAGTTTACTCAATTAAGATTCCTCCCCTCTGCAAACTGCAGAGTGGGTTAAAAATAAACAAAGTACATCTAAATAAAATTAAAAACCGTAAATAAAAATTAAAAACAATAAATGAAAAAAGAGCATGTGTTCCTTCCTAACAGCAATAGTAAATTGCTGCATTCTGCTACTAATAAGAACCACTACATTTTATTTTTTTTATTGTTGTAGATTTTACTACAACAGATGACAAGTACACAACCCAAAGTCAGTTTTCTTTTGTACCAAGGACCTAACTGCTGCCTTCCTGTCCTCCTCCCAACACACACGAATATCTGACATTCGTGTGATGAATGCGACAGAAGTTACCAATAAAAGCACAATAAAGACATGTATTTTGTGTTAGAGGACTGCTACAAGAGAATGGTAGTGTTCTCCCTGCATGCTGTGTGAACTTCTACAGTATGTCAGAATGATGGGCATGACATTGTAGAGGAAAGAATAGGAAAAAACAAAACACTAATGCTGGGAAATATGTAAAGGAGTTATTATTTAAAGAATGAACAGGAAAGCACCAACGAGCCCATGATTCCAAAAGGCTTACTTTCCTGCAACAAGTTTTGACTTCTTGAAAAGATTTCTTTAAACAAAGACCCAGATTACTCTGCTCTTATCTATTTATTATCAGCTGCATTTTTAAGTCTGCTAAAACAAGTGGCTGGTCTACTGCTACTCTGCCTAAAATTCTGTTCTTCACCATATTTCCTAGTCAGAAATAACAAATGTAGCTGAGGACTCATAATGAGTAACAGGCAAGGAGAATTACTAGGACAGCAAGATGGCACTCAAGTTTCTTGGGCATTACCCCTTTGTATTTCTTATCCATTTTCACAGAACTGAAGTGAGGTGGTTGTCTCCCAGTAAAAAACTCAGGGATAGTCACATATAACAACCACCATCCTCTTTCAACAAATGCATGGAAACCTGCAGTGGCACATAAGCTACTAGCACATTAAGTATCTCACGGGTTTCCTTCTTCAGTGTTGTTAGAAAGCTGTTCACATCCCCGAGCTCTCTCAGACAGCCAGCAGACCCATTAAAGAACGGCCCTGCCCTAGTTAGCACTTCAGATGCATTGTTGTTTCAGATAAATACCAAGGCCACTTTAAGTCAAAAGCACAAATGATTGTTCCACACGGATCTAAGTGCCTGTGTAAGATCCTGCCATGTAAGTCTGTGCCAAGTGACACAAAGTAATACATAATATTCCTCCTTCACTCTGCCTTTTGAAAGGCTTTATGCTGGATACAGTACCTAACTTGTTTGTCTAAACTGTCTTGAAAGCATGATCTACATAATATCAGATAACTTAAACTCAATACAACGTATTGGACATAATAATACACTTTCCCTAAATAAATAAAATCCCTAGTTTAGCAATATTCTGTAAGAAGTGTTCCATAAAAATAATAATCTTTACTACAATGAATTCGATCAGCATTTCTCAGTCATGAGGTTAAACAGTGCAACAACAACTATCTGTTACTCTAATGGAAGAAAGTTAGCTCTATTCTAAGTAATTAAAATATTTTTCTTGTTGTATAATACGGAACTATAGAGTAGCACCAAGTAGACTTTTACCTTAGTTTTCAGTTTTTTATTTTCTTCCAGCACAGCTTCATATTTTTCTTTCATCTCTGCCACTTCCAAGCGAAGTGCCTCTATTTCCGGATTCTCAGGAGCTGAAGCTCCCAGATGATGCTTCAGAAAACTGATATTTAGATGTTAAGTATTTCTTCAGTTGTGTAACTACATTTTAGTTTTAACACCCGTGTTGAAGTTAACACTGCAGTACACATGGTCAAAATTGCAGTAAACCATTGAGATTACTACAGGAAAAAAGTTACCAAAATAAGAGAGCTTTTCAACTTCATAGCTATATACCTTAAAAACAAACAAAACCAAGACATCAGTACAAATCTTTATGCGTTACTACCCCCTTCTTCTCTTTTCTCTTCTTAATGGCAGATGTTTTGAAGAATTAAAAGAAATAACAAAAAAAGAAACAATACCCAAAAATGTAGGCGGCTTAAAAAACAGCAAGAAACCTAATATGCTAGTTCCCCCTTTCTTCGTGTATTTAAAAACAAACAAAAAAGGACAGAAAAAGGAAGTGTGAAGAAGCAAACTTCAGAGCCCACTGCAGTACTCAAACCTAATGCTGCAGGTCTGCAACACTGAAACGGCCTCTAACTCAGCTTCATAACTGCTGGCGCACTGAAACACCCTGCTCTCTTGCATCCTGTCAGACTCTGTTAGCTTGTGAAAATGCAATCATTGGGTAAAATGCATTGATAAAAGTCTCAATGCAAGGCTTCGAAATGAGCCTACCCAGCTCACCCAGGAGGCAGAAGCAGTACTGTGCATGAAGTCTCAATAAATAATTCACAGCAAAGAAAAAGGATACTCCAGTGCACTATCTGGTTTCTCTGGCTCTTCATATAAGGCTACCAACACTGCAAATAGAAAATATTCAACAATTGCAAGAAGTTCATGCAACTCTAAGTTTTTAAAACACATACCAGCATCAAAGCATAAATGTTGCATTTTTCCATTTAACAAGATTTTCACCTGTACACTTTGACATAAGCAACAGGTCTGCTGTATCAGAGGGGACAGAGCATTCCACCTAGTAACAGCTAAAGAGTTTTCTTGATCCCTAACCCCACATAGTCTTTGGCTATTCTAACACAGAACACAAAACAGCCTGAAACATTTTTACATATGCTATATGCACCCTAGTACTAGCTTTTGCCAGTGAAATTCTAACTCTGTTGTTCATAAAACTTCTACTTAAGCTACATCTCTAAACCACAGGACATCGGCAGTTTTGTAACTTCAGCAGAACAGCAAACCTCCATTGAGCATCTACAGTTACAAAACTAAAGAGCTACTAAATGGCTAACTGACCCTGATAATCTTTACGGATGGGGGCTCTAATGGCCAAAACAGCCAGAGAAAAGTACCAATACCCCGACAATTTAAATAAAAATAGCCATATACATAGCAACATAACAGAAAACTGTCACATGAATACCCAGGAAGTTCCCAAACATAACCACTCCCTGCTCCCCACAGGGGCCAGGTACCGGTTTCAGGTGTCTGAACCACAGAGCCAAACTGGTTTTCAGCTGAGTATCTCCTAAGTTAAAAGCAAATTTAGGCTGCCTCAATGCTTGGGAGACTTTTTTGCCATCCCATAGGATGGTACTGTGATTGAAAAAACAAATGGTACTCACACACCAGGCCAAGAGTCTTAGTGCAGCAGCTATTCGCCTGACATCCTAGATCTGCTGCTCCCTCTTTAAACAGCATATTTTCAATATTAGCAAAATATTAATTTTTTCAATATTAACACATTTTTGCCACATACTATTGGAAGGTTCTCAAAAAGATTTTAGAAGGATTTCAAAGATACCAACCCACACGTGTCAAGTTTAGCGTCATCATTTCCCCCAGTTTGATATGGAGAGTTATTAATCCTGAACTTAGTTTCATTCATTCTAGAAAAAAAAGCACTAAGTTCCATCCAAGAAAGGGTATGAAACAAAGTTTTTTTAAGATAACATTTGGTGTTATTGCACCTCAAGCACTGACTTCCCCTGTAGAAGAACTTCACGAAAAGCACCCACGGAAAGAAAATAAACTAACCAAAAGCACGCATTGAAAGTCGCGCTCTGGCCGAAGAAGAGAGGTCTCCGACACAGCAGGCAGGGGAAGGGGCCCGCCTGGCCGCTCTGCACGCACCTCGGGGAGCGTGCGGGGCGGGAGCGCTCCGCAGCCCCCGCGGCTCGTTTCCAGCGGCCCGCCGCCCTCTCCCGGCGTGCGCCGCCTCGCCGCGCGCCTCGGGCTCCATTTCCAGGCCACGCCGCACCAAGTTTCCCAGGCGAGTTCTTCTGCCGGCCGCCTCGCCGGACTGAGGAGAAAAAGCGATCGGCGAGGCGAGGCGGGAAGCCCATGGAGAGCGGCAAGGCGGCCCGAGGGACGGCCGCGACCCCGCCGAGCGGGGCGGCAGCGGCTCCGCGGCAGCGGGACACGCTGAGAGCAACGGCACCCGCCCGCAACGCCCCCGGGGAGCGCCCGCCGGCCCCTCGGGCGGCACCACGCGAGCCGGACACTTACCCTTGGTGAGCATGTCCAGCACTCCCGACTTCTCCAAGTACTGGCGGAACTGCTCCCGCTTGGAGTCCGCGGCCTGAGGGAGGACGCCCACACGGTCAGATCGGCGGCGCGCCCCGCCTCGACTGCGGAGGCGGCCCTTTGGCACAGGCCGGTCCCGCTCTCCGCCGCGGAGGCGGCACGGAGGGCCGAGCCGCGGTCGGTCGGCGGCCCGCCGCTCCGCGCAGCCGGCACGGAGAGCGGCACCGCGCCCACGCCGGCGCGCTCCCCCCTACCTTGTGGTGCGCCATCTACCCCGCACGGCGCCTGCCCCGGCCGCGCGCCTGCGCCCTGCGCTTTAACGGCGCGAGCGCTTCCCCGCGGTTACCACGGCGACGGCGCCGCGGCAACGGCCGGGGCCGAGCCCCGCGCGCCGGGCCCCGCGCGCCATCCTCGCTCCCTCAGGGCGGCCTCGCTCCCTGAGGGGCGGCCTCGCTCTCTTGAGGGCAGCCTCGCTTTCCTCGGGGCGGACTCGCTCCCTCAGGGCGGCCTCGCTTTCCTCGGGGCGGCCTCGCTCCCTCAGGGCAGCCTCGCTCCCTCGGGGCGGCCTCGCTCCCTCCGAGCGGCTTCTCTCCCCTCAGGGCGGCCCTGCTCCCCTCGGGGCGGCCTCGCTGTCCCGCTCGCCGCCCAAGGTGCAGCCCAGGCCGGCGCTGTGCCCCCTTGCTCGCGCGGCTCTGGTCCTCGTCCCGCTCTGCCTGCTCTCCTCGTGGGGACGGTTCCGGGGCTCAGCTCAGCCTTCGGGGGCTGTGCCGCCCGGGCGTGGTCCCGGGGCTCCCGCGGAGAGGGCGAGCTGTGGCGGCGGCAGTCCGGAGCGCAGCGCGGCCGCCCGTGAGCGGGGCCCGAGCGTCTCCGAGCGGCGGTGCCGCGCTGGTCGGGCGGAGCGGCGAGCTGCAACGGCCGGGGCCGAGCCCCGCGCGCCGGGCCCCGCGCGCCGCCCTCGCTCCCTCGGGGCGGCCTCGCTTTCCTCGGGGCGGCCAAGCTCCCTTCGGAGCGGCCTCGCTCCCCTCGGGGCGGCTTCACTCCCTTCAGGGCGGCCTCTCTCCCCTCGGGGCGGCCCTGCTCCCCTCAGGGCGGCCTCGCTCCCTCGGGGCGGCCCTGCTCCCCTCGGGGCGGCCTCGCTGTCCCGCTCGCCGCCCAAGGTGCAGCCCAGGCCGGCGCTGTGCCCCCTTGCTCGCGCGGCTCTGGTCCTCGTCCCGCTCTGCCTGCTCTCCTCGTGGGGACGGTTCCGGGGCTCAGCTCAGCCTTCGGGGGCTGTGCCGCCCGGGCGTGGTCCCGGGGCTCCCGCGGAGAGGGCGAGCTGTGGCGGCGGCAGTCCGGAGCGCAGCGCGGCCGCCCGTGAGCGGGGCCCGAGCGTCTCCGAGCGGCGGTGCCGCGCTGGTCGGGCGGAGCGGCGAGCTGGAGTTTTTCCTGTTTTCCATAGTAAGCCCTCTGGTTTGTGAAATTCAAAGTGTCTGATTAATAAATTTCAGTCGCTGCAGCTGGCTGAAATCACAGGAGAAAGTTGCAGCAAGCAGCAGCTGCAGAGGTGCCTACCCAAGAGGCTCTGAAGAGTGATACGTGGTGAAATCTTCACGTCGAAAGGAAAGTCTTTTGCCTTAGCCTGTTTAAAAAACCAGAAACACTTATACCTGTTTATTTTTCTGAAACGCTGACAGATAAAATCTATTTATTGTAGAAATAAAAAAAAAAATTAAAAAAACAACCAAATTATACACATTGCACATATGTTGGGGAATTTTCACGCTTTTTCTCCATGCTCTTCTGCAATGTTTATATTTTTCAGTAGTTACTCTTCATTTGGGAAGGTGCTGTGATTAAACAGAATGTTTGACTCATGTCCAGACATTAAAAAGTTAATAAAATTCCTCTCACAGCAGAAAAATTCTTTTTTAACTTGTTTTGAATAACAAAAATACAAATGCCACATCCCACACATGAACATCCAAATGCTAACTTTCTATTAGTTAGACAGCAGGAACAGAGTGCATTAAATATGAGGCTTTTTATTATGGAGAGATAAAATGCAAAATAAGCATTAGCAGTTATTGCCCACAGAATTTTACGCATCAAGAAATGCAAAAATCAAAGCCACAGCAGCAGCATTAATGCCTAAGTCACATTATACAGTTATGTATCTTCTAGTATATTATACAATCTTAAACTTTACAGTGTAAACACAATTATGTAGGGCTGTTTTTATGTTACACACAAGTGGAAAGGATACTTGCTGGAGAGAAATCTATAGTGAATAGTTTTAATTGTTCTTGTGTGTATTTCTTACATGGACAGTACCAAATTAATGTTGCTGCTACAAGCAAAAGAGCCTTTTAGGTTTTGTGGCTCCTTTTTTGCTAGTATTGTCCAGTTTTCAGTCAATCTGAAACACGGCTGGCTGGTAAGCATAATGACAGTGCACTTGAGGAATTTAATTGTGCTGTGACATCATTATGCTATATCTCACAAATTATTTTTTCAGTACTTGAACAGTATGTGAAATCTGCTAGTAAAAAATACACACAAAAATACTAATGCATTTCAGCTGTGACCACCTCACCAAGTACTTACAGTGTTTCAGTGCTGTGCAACTCAAATAAATGTATTTCATACACAGAAAGCTTGATTACAAATGTACCATAGTATTTTGTTCCTCTTTGCCTCCTTTATTATTTCAAGATATTTCATGAAACTTCCTTTACACCATATGGACCTGAACAGTGAGTGGATAAATGTCCTCATGTTTTGTTATCCCCATAAAAGCATAAATACAAATGCTCCTCCTAAACAGGTAGAAGCTTTGTTTGATTTAAAAGTTTATCAGAATTCGGGGGAGAGACAAACAGAAAAGGAGTAGTTTTACTGTTTGATAAAACTTTTATGTCTTTTGACATTCTAACTGAAATCAGAAGGTACTACCATACTTGTTTTCTGATTTTGCTATCTTATTAGTGTTATGAATAATGTCAAAAGTAAAGCTCACAACATGTCTGTAATTTATGATGTTTTAAAAAATTAGTGGTGTATTGAAAAAACTCACTTTGATCTTTCTGCTGAGGAAGTCAGTGGAAATACACTGACAAAAAAAAGTGTACCATGAAGCCAACAAATTTTAGTGACCTGTTTTGTAAATGCTTTTTCTCTTTGTATTTACAACAATTTGAATAAGTTTGATATTCTGCTTTCAGTTGGCCATCAAATGTCTGTTTGAATTCCTAAACTAATTAGGCAGAGACATGTTTACCAATATGTTCTTCTAAGAGCCTCTTTAGCCTAATTTGATTTACTGGTCTTTGTAAAAAATATCATTGGACTGTAAATTTTGTCATAAAATCAGCTGTGATTTTATGCCTGACTTTTTCCTAATATGTGGATAGAGAGGATGTATGTTTTCCTTTTTGCTGGAGTGTAGAAGTTTGTACACTGAGGTCTATGCCACATTTTCATTACAAAGGAAGTGAAGAGACCGTTTAAAAATTACTTAGCTACTCTTCAGAGTTTCACAACTTTTCTACCTATGTAAAGAGCTGGTTCAAGTTGAATTATTTAGCTGCACTTGCACATAGGTCTGGGTTATGTCTCTGTTCAGCAATTATCCCCGCACTGGTTAGTGCAGCTAATGAGTTAGTGCAGTTAATGAGCGCAGCTAATGAGTTAACTCACACTATATTTGAAGATCTGTGGGGGCACGCCTACTGCTGGCATTACTTGACAGTGACTGTTGCCTAGAGAGAGAGAAAAGCTTTGGACTACTCCAGTTTCTGCTTTGTGTAGATTCTGAGCTCACCACCCCCATGGAATCAGAAGTGTCTGGTCGGCTGGAATTTTTTCCTTCAGCATTGTTTTCATTACAAAGGAAGTGAAGAGACCATTTAAAAATTACTTAGCTACTCTTCAAAGAGTTCCACATCTTTTTCTACCTATGTAAAGAGCTGGTTCAAGTTGAATTATTTAGCTGCACTTGCACATAGGTCTGGGTTATGTCTCTGTTCAGCAATTATCCCCGCACTGGTTAGTGCAGCTAATGAGTTAGTGCAGTTAATGAGCGCAGCTAATGAGTTAACTCACACTATATTTGAAGATCTGTGGGGGCACGCCTACTGCTGGCATTACTTGACAGTGACTGTTGCCTAGAGAGAGAGAAAAGCTTTGGACTACTCCAGTTTCTGCTTTGTGTAGATTCTGAGCTCACCACCCCCATGGAATCAGAAGTGTCTGGTCGGCTGGAATTTTTTCCATCAGCATTGTAAGGAATTTGGGCTTTGTTTACACTGAAACTGCTTTGTCTTCTGTCACCGTTCTTTGGAAGAGGATTTGTTGGTGCTCCTGTGCTCTCAACCACTGCCTGTCGTCTAGAACTGGCACAAGGGAAAGTTGTACCAGCTTGCAATGAAGTTTGAGATGGCACCTCAGCAAAGCTTCTCAAGTACATGTTTGAGGTGGTATCTGCATTCTGAGTATCAACAAGAAAATGTTTCTGTTCAGTCTCTTCTTGTGCATCATGCCTCTCGGTCCAAAGCTCGCCAAGAAAGCCTTCATTATTGTTTGTGCTAGCATTTTGAGTCTGATTGTCCAAAGCATTTGTAGCTGGCCTCTTCTTTGGAGATTTATTTTCCTGATTGCAATGGGTGTAATTGCTGCTGCTTTCTGTATGGTTATTTTGCACAGACGGAAACATAGAAGGAGAATTTAAAACTGGGTAGAGCATAGTATCAGTTTGCTTTTCCATCAGAAAGGTATAACTGCTAAGAGCACAAGGAAGTGTTTTCTGAGGGGTGGTGGATATTCCCAAAGAAGAGTGGGGTATCACAGAGTATTTCTTAGATTTGTTTATGTAGAAATTCTCAGAGTCATCTTTGGTTTTATTCTGCTCACAGAGTCCCATTTTAATTTTTCGGAATCCTAAGTGGATAATTTCTAGAATATTTAAAAGCAATGATACAGTTGCTATTGATTGCATAAATAATATAAACACTGTCTTTTCTGTTGGTCTAGATACAAAGCAGTCAACTGTGTTTGGACATGGGTCTCTCTGGCATTTATAAAGGGGATCTAGGTGGAAACCATAAAGAAGATACTGCCCAATCATAAAGCCAACTTCCACTGCAGATCTTGTGAAAATATGTATCACATAAGTGCAGAGCAAAGAGCCTCTTAGGGGTGCTTTGTTCAGCTTCCTTTGATCCAGTTGCCGGAGCTCCCTCTCCAGTCTTTTACGATTTTCAGTCATTTCTAATTCAGTGCTTTCAAGTTCCACCCTCACCAGAGCTTTCTTTTTTTGCCTTTCTTTTTCCAAGGCTCTTAGTCTGTATAAGGCATGACCCATATACACCAAGGAAGGGGAAGACACAAATATAACTTGCAAGACCCAGTATCTTATGAGAGAGATGGGAAAGGCCTCATCATAGCACACATTTCTGCAACCAGGCTGCTCAGTATTGCATATGAATTCTGATTGTTCATCATTCCAAACATCCTCGGTTGCCACTCCAAGAACAAGCATTCGAAATATGAAGAGGATCGTTAGCCAAATCTTTCCAATAATAGTGGAATGAATGTGGACCTCCTCTAAAATGCCTCCAAGGAAATTCCAGTCTCCCATGGTTATTCTGCCATATTAACACTAAAATGTATGAGAGAAACAAGTATCAAACATTGTAAAACTTGCATTCCTTCCTTAATATATTATGAAAAACACAACACTGGGAAAACGATCATTATCTCACATTGTAACCATAGGAACATGACCAACTGCTCATTGATAATTAGGCATTATTTTCTTTCACCTGTGAGATGGAGAACTGCATCATCTGCCTGTACCTGCTTTATTATTAACATCCTGATAAGCACATCACTACAAGATATTAAACACCCTCAGATCAGTGGAAACTAGAGTGCCTGACTGGTAGGATTTAAAGAGCATTTGAATATCATTTGTGATCCATTTGAATATCATCCAATAACAGTGTGAGAGCAGTACGTTTCTATTTAGGTCACTTATTGAGGTACAGGAATATTTGCTTGTCCTCTTTTTCGGATGTTCCAAGCCCCATGTCACAGCTGTAATTACAGCAGTTCAATTATTGTTTCACAGAGAAAATTGGTTATATAAAGGAGCTCAGGAGGGAATAAATCATCTCATGGAAATGTCAATATTAATTAAAAAGACATGTTTAAGCATATAATTTTGTGCAGAGATTTGATTTTTGTTTATGGATGCCAAAAATAAATACATAGAATTACTGTAATTGGTTCGCTTCCTCTCATCAATGATACCTGCATTTGAATAGTGAATAGAGTGCCTAAGTGTCAAGCATTACTATTTTTTGGCCACAACTCTTTGAAAAATAAATTATTTACACAAAAATTCCTTACCAGCATTTTCCTAAATGACTGTGATCTGAATACAGATAAACTGGTAATATATGTGTGTAATGGTACATCTCACCTTTCTTTCATATGTTTGTTTTTCCATTAACAGGATACTACATTGTGGTCTAAAATTCAAATTCTTTTTCAATATTTATGCTATTCTCTACATATACAATTGTAACACAATTTTTCTTATGTGTGGGGACAAGCAAAACACTTGTAGCTAAGCACCTTTTCATTGGATGTACAGCACAATTCAATAGAACAGTATCTTACTTTGGTATTTTTTAAGATAAAGGTGCTTTAGCACAGCATTTTCTCTTCAAATGGGATTAATCTTCACCCTGTAAAACAGGAGTGCTAACAAGTCAACAGAAGCTGGAATTTTATGGTTGCAATATTGATATCCATAGAGGAATCTTTACGTTAAGCCTTTTAAACATGAAAATACTTTTGCAAATCAGTATACAAATAGGAAAGTTAGACATTTTTTAAAGAGAAACAAGTTTAAAATAAATGATAAATTAAAAATAAAACATACCTTTCTTTGCAAAAATATGTAAAACTAAACATCTGCGACGTCCAATAAAAAATTACAACCCCTGCCATCTTCCATCTGTGTGAGTAAATTGACACATTATAAGCAGTTTATTTTGCTACAGTAGCAAATGGAGTGTGAGCTTTGCACATGGAATTTATATTTGCTGGTGCTGAAGGGAGGAGAAAATCGATCTATTGTTCAATCTACTCTGCTCCAAGCATAATTTAACTATGAACAGTAAAATATTCTCTTTTTTAAAAAGCTAGAAATAAAAAATCTACAACTTTAATTTCTTTGAGATTATCTTCTTTTTTGCCTCAATAGCACCTTTTAAGTTTTAGGAACAGTCTCAGCCTGGGAAAAACAGAATAAACCAGAACTATCAGACTGCATTTCAGTTTACGTATCTCCCTAGCAGCAGACATTCAGCTTGCCTGTGCAGAAGAAGGCAAATCTTCCCAGCACTGTCACTGTAAATTCCTGCAGTCTGTTCTCCTGCAGCAGCTTACATCAGCACACTCCTGATGTAAAAAACCAGTGGATGTACTTTTGGCCACTCCAAACTCACTCCCTCCTCATACACAGCATCTCTTATATTCTGTGATTCTGCACTTCTTATTTATTCTCCTGAGGCCATATTACTTGTCATACTGACATCATTAAAAGACTCCTGAACTTGACAATGATTTGACTCTATTTTCCCCATCCTTATAATTCAGTATTTCTTTTTGGTAGCAAATAATTATAATTCCTGTCTTAAATGACAGACATACTAAATATGTCATTCTTCTTGGTAGTGATACTTGTGTATTAAAAAAAACAAAACTGACTCTGTGACACAAGTTCCATTTTTAAATCAGACCTTAAGCTACCCATCTGCATTACCTCAGCAGGAAAAATAGGGAGAGCAGGCTGAAATATTTTCTGTTATATAAGAGTTATAAAAGAGTTACATATTTTCTGTTATAAAAGAGTGCACAAACTGTCTGATCTCAAAGAACATTTTAGGTACTGATAGGGAAATCCTTTCAAAAACTCTAAACATTAAAAATTATGGGCGGGGGGAGGGAAAAATACCTTATTTTACAAAAGCGAAAAAAAGAAATAAATACATCTATTTTGTGTACAGAAATGTTTTCTGGAGCCAGCATTAGCAGTGCAGTGGCCAAGGGCACAGCCTCATTAGGAATGCCTGGTATTAATGTGCAAGTCCACTGCTAGGACCAATATGAGTTAAGAAGCATATTAGCACTATAATGTTCTTTTAGGTGATCCTCATCAGCACTCTGCAGAAGTGTAGTTCTGATTCAAATGTCCTATAAAGGATAAATAAACTTCCTCTGCTGAGAACTCTAAAAGGCTAATCATTATCTTTTAATATTGGTGCTGAAGATCAGTCAATAGGTCATGTCCAATTTCACACTTGACAGCTTGCCTGAAAGTACTCAATCATTTTGGCAAGCTAGCAGTTTCCAGGCAGCCATCTCTGTGAAGTACTTAAAGCAGGTTTCTAAACATGTGTCTTCTACTGAGTGCTTCAAGTAGGGCTCTAAATATTTTTCTGTTATTAATAAAACCCTCTAAGTCTGCTGAAGTGGTCCACAGACACACACACAAAACCTCCAGCTCGTGCAGAGATGCTGAAGCTTTGTTTGAAAACCTGAAGTGTTTAGTGAGACTGAGCTGCCATGGCTGGAGATTTTCTTGCTCTGTAAAACCCAAATATTAAAAAAAATGAAAAAAAAAAATTTAAGGATCCACATTGTTCCAGGATGCATTATCCCTTTTAAAACGGTAAACAGTTAAATGACAACTTGATAACTCATGAGGGAAAATAAATTCAAATGCCAACAATAATTTTATAGTGTTGATACTGCTTTTTACCTTAGTAAAAGACACTTGCAACTCTATCTACATAAACTGTTTATAACACCTTCAGAATTTAGTAATTTAGTGTTGTAGGGTGAGGCTATTAATTTTTCTTCCAGGTCTAGAAGCTACCTCACTGGCTTTTTATTCACTGGAAAACATTCTCTACATTTTTATGACTATATCGATTTTTCTTAGCTTAGGGTCAAACATCACAGTAATCCTCCAATCATGGAAATAGTCTCTGAAGATCAAGGCCTTTTCATTTCTACACATCAATAATGTGCACTTTATGTGTACAATTGATTTTTATTTTCTGCTGTTATCTGTCTGACCCACAATGGACACTAGATAAATAGAGGCACAAACATCAGTGATGTGTCCTACACGTTTTCAGGCTAACATCAACTCACTCCCATACTTTTCTTTCAGTAGTGAAGGAAGACCACAAATGATAAACTGCAATAATGAGAAATTTGGAAAACTCTACTACTCCATGTTGTCTTTAGGATCACCAAATTCAGCAGTATTGTGTTTGAAGGCAGACCAGATATTACCATATGAAGACTGAAGCACATACTCTCCAAATTAGTTTATTTTCTGTGCTGCCTTACAGATTCACTTTTTATTGCTAAGATACACATGCAAATCAGTAGGTACCTTATAGATTCACTCTTTATTGCTAAGATACACATGCAAATCAGTAGGTGCACATTTATATTTTCACTTTCACAAGCAAAATTTCTGAAGATGCCTTGGCCTATATCAGAAAGTTTAAGGGGTTTTTTTTACAGTTTCTGTCTTTATCTTAGTTCACTGTTGATAGTTTTTAATTCATTTCTCTCTTAGTTACTTAGCTTTAAAAAATTGTATTTTCTGCATACTTTTATAAAGCTTGCTATTTTCCTCTCTTAATCCCCTGGCTGTAAAATTTTATTTATACATATATTGTAGTTTTCTGTGACAGCTTTTAGTTCCCTCTGATCTTGCTCCTCTTTACATTTTCAAGTTTCCATGTCTATTTTATTAGGCTTCCTCTCTATTTTTTTCCTTCTTTCCTGCCTGTTTGGTATCCATCTGCTGGGCTCAGGGTCAGTGTCTGTGGTTGGGGCAGGGGAAGGGAGATGGGCTTCACGTGGGAGCTGCAGCATCTAGGTTGTTCTTGTGAGGTGTGAAAGTGGCTGAGCCAAGGATGAGGATAGGGTGGAGGAAGGGATGGGTTGGGGCAGCAAATGTGCAGCCACTGAGGCCGGGGTGTACAAACCACAGCCTCTGGTCAGGAGGCTCCTCCTGCTGCTCCTCCAGCTGTTTCAGCTCCTGGGCTGTTTCAGCTCTTTGGGCAGGTGTGTTCTGGAGTTTAGAGCATGGAGCTGCCTGTCTGAGTAAGGCTTCAGGACAGTGAAGGTTCAGCAGCCTGTGCAGTAGAGAGTACACTTGTGACAGACACCCCCCAGGCAGGATCCTGGAGGGAACCCCCCTGCTGTGTGGCATCGACATCCCCAAAATAAATCCACCAGCCCTGCTGGTCTCAGGGGTCTTCATGGTCTCAGTGGGTCTCATGTTTTCCATCCCATGTGTCAGAGACTCCCACCAAGATCAGGCTGTCCTCCCATCCTAAATGCCACCCCCAAGTGGGTCAGAAACCTCCCTCAGATGGGGCAGAGATCCTCCCAAATGGGTAAGACACACCCCACACCCACCAACTGTATGGAGGGGAGCAGTGACATCCTGCAAATTGCGGGTGGGGGGACAGCCTGGTCCCCCCCAGTAAAGACACCAGCCCTGGCTTCCACACAGTCTTCATGGTCTTCGTGGGTCTCGTGATCTTCTGGGGTTGGGGAGACAGAGCCCCCACCTAGAACGGGGAAGAGAGTCCCCCAAAGGGGGCAAGACCCCCACAAAATGATGGGGCGTGAGAGGGACCCTGGATTGTCGCCCCAAATCGGTGCCACAAGGGAACAACCCAGGACCTGTGACCCTTCCTGACACCCCTCAGAGGACCCCGGCCCCGGGTGACCCCGCCACCTCCACCCATCCTCTGGGTCCCACGGGCCCCTCTGAAGCTCCGCCCTCTGCCTTGTCACCCGTCGCAACAGTGACAGCGTTGGCGTTTTGGTGGCGTTTCCCTCCGGGGCGGGGTTTCCTCGCCCAGGTCCCCCCAAAACGGTCCCCGCGCCCGCCCCGGCCCCATTTGCCCCCGGATCCCGCGGGGATGCGGCCCCAGAGAGGTATGAGGGGATAAGGGGGATGGGGGCGCGGGGGTGGGCGCTGTGTCGCGGGCCCTTTGAGACTCGCTTTGAGGGGACGCTGGCCTTTTAAGAGTGCTGGGGCAAGGTGCTGGCCCTTTAAAACACCGGGAGAGAGCGCTGGCCTTTTAAGACGCTCTTTTAGGGGACACTGGCCCTTTAAGAGCTGCTTTGGGAGTTACTGGCCCTTTAAGAGCTGCTTGTAGGAGACACTGGCCCTTTAAGTCTCGCTTTTAGGGGACGCTGGCCCTTTAAGAGAGCCAAGAGGGGTCTGCTGAGCCTTTAGGAGAGCTGGGGGGCAGGAGGGGGGACACTGGCCTTCAAGGAGCGGGGGGATTCCCGGGGGTTTCTCCCCGCGGGGGAGGAGGGGGTTCCCCGGGAGGAGGGCGGTGACGCCGGGGGCGGGTGGTGACGCATGGGAATCCCCGTGACGTCACCGCAGGGGGATTCCTGCCTCGCCGGGGGAGCGCCCAAGGGTTTGGGGGTCCCGGGGGGCGCGGGTATGACACGGCGGTTTGAGGGGTCTCGGGAGTTCAGAGGGGACCCCCGAGCAGGGTCTGGATGAGACACGGGGATCTGGGGGACGCCTGGGCGTTCGGCGGGGCTCTAGGAGTTTTCAGGGTTCCCCGGCATCCCGGGGACCCCCGAACCCTCCCTTGCACACCGCCAGGTCCCCCCCGCGCCGCTCCGCCCCAGACGGTGAAGCAGCTGCTGAAGGAGCTACGGCAGCAGAGGAGCCGGGAAGGGGCGAGATCCCCGGTGGGTGACCCCCTCTCCCACTGACACCTCCCGCGGGACACCCCCACTCTCCTCCCTGACCCCCTCGCTCTCCCCCCAGGTTTTGGCTCTGCCCTCCCCGCGCCCCTCGGATGGTGAGTGACCTCCGATTCCCCAGATCCCCCCACACCCCCTGTGCCCCTAAATATTCTCCATGCCCTGCCCCCCCCATCCCTACGTGCCCCCCAATCCTCCCTCTGTCCCTCAATTCCCCTCCTCAAACCTCCCCATGTCCCCCCATGGCCCGGTGTCCCCTCAGGCGCTCCCTGGCCCGCTGTCCCCGCTGTCCCCGCAGTGACGCCCAGCCTCTGTGCGGTCCCACATGTGTCACCCCACGGCAGCCCGGGGGGGGCCCATGGGGGAAGGGTCTCCGCTCCGAGGGGGTTTCAGGTGAGCTCTTGGAGGGGACAGGGGAGAAATGGGGCATGAACTGGGAGGTTAAGGGGGGGCAGTGTGGTAAATGGGGGTCAATGGGGGAAAATGAGAGGGCAGTGGGGGGAGAATGGGGGGGAATGGGAGGCAAAGGGAGGGAAATGGGGGGGAGAAAGGGGGCAGACAACTGGGAGGGGAATGGTGGGGCAATGCAGAGTTACATGGGAGTAATGGGATGGTTAAGGGAGGCAATGCGAGGGAATGAAGGAAACAATTGGGGCAGTGGAGGGGCAATGGGGGCAGCAGTGGGGGGAGATGATGTAGATGGGGGCAATGGGGTGGCAGCTGTGGGGGCAAGGGGAGGAAAAGGGAGGGGTCATTGGGGCAGGGGTAACTGGGACCAAGCCCCCCCTCCACCTTGACTGCTGCCCCCCCAAGGCCTCTGCCATCCCTGGCCCTGCCTGGCCCCATCCCGCAGTGCCGTGGGGAGAATTTGGGGCCTCCCTGCTGGGAAGGGAGATCCAAGACCCGTATCCTGAACCCCAGGACCTGGCAGCCGCCCGCGCCGCACTGGGGGGCCGAGACCCCCGGGAGCTGCTGCGGCAGGACGAGGAGGGGGACACGTGAGCAGGGGGGGCATGGGAGGGCACTGGGGGGTACAGGGGTGATAACGGGGTACGGAGGTCAAGGGGTCCATGATGGGTCAACGGGCTAAACTGGAGCAAATGGGCATCAATGGGGGGGCAATTTAGGGGGTCACTGGTGTGAAGGACAGTCAGTGGGGCCCATAGGAGTGCAATGGGAGGGCAGTGGGGTGAGTGGGGTCAGTGTGGTGTTCAGTGGGGGGCAATGGGATGAAGTGGGGTCTGTGGGTGAGATCAGTGTGGGGTGAGTGGGAGAGTCAATGTGGAGGTCAGCAGGGAGGCACTGGGGGGGTCACTGGGACAAGGCAGTGCTGGGAAGCCCCAGGGGCGGTTGTGAGGCACTGGGAGGAGCTCTGGGGTGACAAGTTCCTTTTGTGGGGTCTGTGTTGTGGGTGGAACGTGGGGGGCGGGTAGAGGGGCAAGGGGGTCCCCTGTAACCCTGCTCCACCCCCAGGCTGCTGCACGTGCTCTGTGCTGGGGGGCACTGGGCGCTCGCCCGGGCTGCGGCCGAGGCTCTGCGCGACCTGGGGGGACTGGAGGTGCGGGAGCACCTGGGCAAGGTGAGGGGGGACACGCCTGGGGGGCCTGAGAGGGCATCTGGAGGAGATCAGGATGCAGGAGCACCTAGGCAAGTTGGGGGGGTGGGGCAGGGGAAGCTAGAAGTACAGGAACACCTGGGAAAATTGAGGGCATTGGGGGTAATAAGGGGTAATAAGTAAAGAAGGGGTAATAAGTGGGTCTTATTGGGGCAATAAGGGGGTGGTGGGGGTAAAAAGACAATAACAGATCGGGGGTATTGGGGATGGGATAGTTAATTCTGGGATAATTAATCACAGAGTTCTCTTGCAATCTAATAACAGGGAGAGTGCTGGAGAATAAAGGGGTAATTAATACTGGGAGGTAATAACGGGTGATTAGTGATGGTATAATTAGAGTCAAATAAAGGGCAATGATGGGACAATTAATAACAAAAAAATAATGAGGTGATGATAAAGGAATGATAAGCGGGGACAGAGCAGTAGCAGAATACCAGGGTGATAATTTGAGGGTTCAGGGGTGCTTGATGCTCCCCAACCACTCCTGACTCTCCCAGATCCCACTGATCTTCCTTTTTCCCTGCAAGAGCCCCCAGACCCCCTTTACCCCCTAGACATCTAACTCCCCCCAGGAGTCACTCAAGTCCCCCCTGACCCCTCCATTTGGTGCCCCCAGACTCCCCTGCTGGTGGCAGCAGCAGCTGCAGCCCCGGAGATCGTGCGGGACCTGCTCGTCCTGGGCGCCAATCCCGATGCCGCTGACCACGGGGGCCGCACGGCCCTGCACCTGGCCGCAGCCTACGGGCACCCCGAAATCCTCCAGGTGAGACCCCAACCCCAGGAGGGCTGGGCAACCCTGGGGACCGCAAAACCCTCTCAAAGGGGACCCCAGAGTGGGTCCAAATGAACACAGTTGTTCTGGGAGACCAGGGAACCGGCCTGGGGACCTGGTATCCAGGGGGACCCCAAATCTTTCCTCTTGCCTTCCCAGGCCATGATGTCCTCGGGGGTTCCTGTCAACGTGGAGGCCAGAAATTTTGAGGGTCAGCAAATCTGGGGGAGGGGGCAAGGGTGGTGGAGGGACTTGGGGTGGGCCCCTGGTTTTGGGGTGGGGGTGATTCTTGGGGAGTCTTTGTTTGGGTGGGACTGGGGACAGTTCAGTTGGTGGGTCCCCAACGGGATGGGGACTTGGGGGGTCCCTGATTTGGGGTATCTCACAAGTCCCCCATTTCAGGGTGTCTTGGGAGAGTCCCACTTGAGGGGTATTCAATACAGAAGGGGTTTGGGGGTCCCTGGTTTGAAGGGGATACTGGGTATCCCCATGTTTTGGTAGCTCTTGGTGGGATTCCTCGTGGATGCATCACTGTTTTGGGAGGATGGGGGATGTCCAGTTTGGGGGTCCTGGTTGATGGTGGGAGGATCCCAGGAGGTATGTCTGTACTTTGAGAGGGTCCCTAGGAGGGTTCCCAATTCCAGGGGGGCTCTGTTTGGAGGAGAGGCCCTTCCTGACCCCTGTTGGTTCCCCCCCAGGCCAGACCCCTCTGCACTGCGCCGTCCTGGCCCACAACGCCTCGCTGCAGGGAGGGCACAGCCCCACGGGGGGCTCTGCAGGGGGGTCCCCCACTCCCCAGGACCGATTCCGCTGTGTTGAGCTGCTACTGCAGATGGGGGCAGACAGCAGCAGCCAGGTACAGACCCCCCAAGACCCCCAGGTACCCAATAACTCTCCAGGTGTCCCTCAGATCCCCTGGGTTCCCCGCACAGACCTCTGTGCCCCTCAGAGATTGCTGTCCCACCTCAAGGTCCCTGTGTGCTGGGCAGACATGAGCTCCTGGCCTTTGGGGTCCACTGGGGTACCTTGGGAGGGTTGGGGAGGGGCGTGAGACCCCCACAACACTTATGTGCCCCCCAAAGACCCCTGTATCTCCCTTCAGGGTCCCCATGGGCTGGATAGATCTGTGCTCCCAGGCACTGGGATTTCTTGGGGTCCTTTTGGGGAGGTTGAGGAGGTTGTGGGGGGGGGGTGGGACCTCCTGTGGGTCCCCCCCTGACCCCTATCTTGCCCCCAGGACACCAAAAGCAGCCTGACAGCTCTGCATCTGGCCGTGCGGGGAGGGAACCTTGCCCTGGCCCACCTACTGCTGCGCCAGCCTGGCATGGCCCCCCGCCTTGTCAACATGAAGGTTTGAGGGACTTGGGGGGCTGGGGGCAGCTCTGAGGGGCTCTGTGGGGGGCTCTGGGTTCCCCCAAGGGCTCTGTGGGGCACTTGGGGCTGGGGGACCTCTGTGGGGCTCTTGGGGCTGATTGGAGGGCTCTGGAGCTCTTTGGATTTCCTCCAGTGGCTTGAGGGCTTTGAAGGGGCTCGGGGAGGCTCAGAGGGATCAAAAGGGCACTGGGGGCTTTGGGGTGTCTGTGGAGAGTCTGGGAGGGCTGGAGGTGTTGCTATCAGACCTCAAGGGCTCTGAGGTACCTCTAGGGGGGCTGGAGGGTGATTTATGGGTACCCTGAGCCCCCTCATCCTGCAGGCCCACGGGAACACCCCCCTGCACATGGCAGCAGCGCTGCCCGGGACCCCCAGCCAGGAGCCCCTTGTGAGGCTGCTCCTGGCCTGGGGTGCCGACCCCAGCACCCGCAACCTGGAGCACGACCTGCCCCAGAGCCTGCTGCCCCCTGGGGCCCCCGGAGAGCAGGTGAGACCCCCAGCACCCTCACACCCAGCCCCATCCCCAGCACCCCACTGCACCCTAAACTTCCTGCTGAAGGGGGGAAATGCCCGGAATCGCTCCTGGAGCCCCAAAATCCCACAGTTTTCCTCAAAACCTTGCTGCTATGCCCGAATGTTCTGCTGCTTTACCCCCTCATTTCCACCACCCCGCAAACCGTGGGGTCCTGTCCCAGGACCTTTGGGTGACATCCCCATATTCTGGGGTAGAACCCCGTGTTTTGGGGACCTCCCTGAACCTGCCCTCCCCCACAGCTCCGCCTCCTCCTGAGGAGCCGCCGGGGGTCCCATCGCCCCCCCCCCACCGCCGAGTGACGTCAGAGGGGCGGGGTCTCCCCGGTAGCGGATGGGGGACACCCCCACATTGGGGGATCTCCCCATGTTAACTTTTCCTGATTTCAATGAAATTGCCCCCGAATTTCTGTGAAATGAGTCTGAACCACATTGGTTTGGTGGGGGGAGGAGCACGGAGGGGCACCAGCTCCCCCTTGCCCTCCCCCCCAGCCTCATTAATGGGGGCTGCTAATGAGGGGCATCTCCTCTAAATTGGGGGATTTGGGTGGAGTATGCCAAATTGGAGAGGAAACCCAAAAACTGAGAGAATTCTGGAATTAAATAAAAACTCTTAAAATCTGAGTCTGTTTTTTCCCAGTGCCCTCAGTCTCTCCTCAGTCACTCCCAGTGCATCCCAGTGACCACAGAAAAAGGAAGGGGTTCTGGAACAAAGGGCTTCAAATTGAGAAAACCTCCTTTTTTCTTATTTTGAGGATTAAGTCATCAAAAACACCCCTGTGACACTATTTTAAGGCTTTAAATTAAGGGGGTAAATGGTGGGAAATGTAAGGGGAAAAGAGCAGGAAACATAAGGGAGAAAGGGTGGGAAATGCAAGGGGAAGGAGGGTGATAACCATGGGGCACTTGGGGTGACTCCCAGAGGTGCCCCCAAATGCTCAGGTTTCCCTCTCCCTGGCTCTAGAGGAACTGGTGAGGGGAGCATCCCTCAGAACCATCAAACCCCTCACTGCACCCACTGAATCCCCTCACAGATCCCCCAATCCACCTTCAAACCCTCCCAATATCACCAAAACCATTTCAGCCAGCTCCAGCTGCTCTTTAGCACCCTCAAACCTCACCCAGCACCACTGAAAGGCCAATTGATGCCACCCAACCAATCCTTCCCAGCTCCCTCTACATCTGCTTTGACACCACTGAAACTCCTCCTGGCATCTCCAACACCATACCAGCACTTCACACAACTCCTCCTAGAGACAAAAAAATGGAACTTTCCTAATTAATTTTTCTACTTCATGGGGTTAATTAACTTTCAATTAATTATTTAATTAATAATAAGCAGTGTAATTTTCCACTTTAGCCAGCATAAAGTTTTTTTCACAGACTGCTATTGTAAGAACAGTTTGGGACAATTACTGAAATTTAAAGTTTTACTAAACCAACCTTGATATCCTTCAATGAACAAAGCCTGAGGGAGAGAAATGATGCTGAGAACTTCTTTTGCCAATTGACAGGGGTGATTTAAATGACACAGACACCAGTGGCAAGAATGGTCTTATTTTACTATGACTATTAAGGCAACACAAAAGTAAAATGATATATTCAATAAAACTACACACTTGGCTTTAGCAACAAAGAAAAAAAGCAAGGTAATGCACCTAATCATTACTACAGGGTGATTGAGAAAGATACCTCCAAAATTGCCATCCTCCAGAGTCTGCAGCCACTGGGGAGCCTCATTTCACAGTGAGGATCTGGAGAATCCTTCCCAGCTATTGGGAAAATCCTACATGGTCATCCACCCCTAGGTGAGGTCTCCAAATTCGCCCGAAACTGGGTCCAGCTTTTATAGGCCCAAACCAACAAGTCAAAGTGACTTGGTTATATTTTTGGCCCAGAAGCACCTGGATCTGATGGCACACTCCCTGACCAGCAGGGGCCAAGGTTTGGCCAGAGCCCAGGCCTTGGCTAGGAGGGTTTCCCCTAAAATATCTTACAAACAAACCTCTATTGATGTCAGTGGGGAAAATGTCTTAAAATGATACATTTCTGGCAGATTCACAAGGTTATGTGAAAGTTTCTAAAGCAGTGGGTTTGGTGTGAAAGAGCTGGCATAAGCATCTTGGTCATCTATTTTTAGCTAAATAATGGGGTGTGAACTGGGAGGTTAAAGGGGGGGCAGTGTGGTAAATAGGGGTCAATGGGTCAATTTAGCTATTATTTTAGCTAAATAATACTGATTGTGTTAGTCACACAATGCCCAGGGCTGATCTTGTAAGTCTGGCTGAGTCCTGCTGCTCAGGCCTAAGCACATCAGAACGGGTCAGCAGGAATGCAAAATCTACAGACTACAAGAACATGTTACAGAAACCAGAGATGAAGAAATAAAGACAATTCAGCATCTGTACTGAAACTCTCCCTATGACAAAATGTGATGCTAGGAATAGCTGAGGAAGAAAGTGCAAAACACCACTTTGTTTTAACAGGAGCAGTTTGCCAGACTGCTTCTGTCCTGACACGTTTTTCTGTGCAAGAAATAGACAGACATTTCAGACTCTGCACGACTGAAATTGTGTGATACAGTGGAGAACAAAAGTACATTGCCACCACTGTTATGTGCACAAGCTGCAAGGAAATGTAGCTGCCACTTGTTTCTGGTGTGAATTTAAGCTTGCAGATGGGAGGGAAGGTCAGTGAAATCTTTCTGTTCTGGTACATTTTCTCAGGATGAGAATGACATTTTGAAGGACATTTTCAACTTTGTATCTTCATTGTTGGACACCCTGATGCCTTAGGATTTCAGCTTTTATGTTTTTTTTTATATTTGTAATCCTTCAGTTCTTTAGTGTATAACTCCAAACTCCACACACAGTGGGAGCTGCTGCTCTCCCATTTTGGGCAGACACAACAATTCCTCTCCAGGCCTGGCAATCAAGGACACCTCACTGCCTCAGGCCCCAATAAATGTAAAAAAAAAAGTGAGTTGAGGGGAGCAAACTTGGGGTCAATGACTTCATTGGCTGAAGCTGTAATTGGAAGATGAACACCCAACATGCAAATGGCCCAAACTTAGAAAAGTGTGAAAACCTATGACCTGTCATCCATTCTGGGTGTAGCCCCTGGTGAGGCTTCATCTGCCCAAAATGTACCTGAAAGCCTTAAATAAATATATCTGATTTTATTATCTTAATTTTGTCTGGCCTCTGTTTTTAGGTAGCCCCAGTGATGCCTTGGAGGGGCTCCCTAGAACAGAGGCTAGACACAGTTAGGAGAATAAAGTGGGTTTTTATTAAAGGCCTTCAGTAGATACACCCTGGGCAGTCAAAAGCCTTCCAGAGGCTACACCCAAGAAAGACCATGGTCAGGAGTTTTTCAGGCAGATCTAAGTTTGGTCTATTTGCATATAAGGGGTTAATTACCTGTCCAATTACAGGTTCAGGTAATGAAGTCAGATACCCCCAGTTTGCTCCCCACTCCTCGATTCACTTTTGTTTATACTTTTTGGGGCCTGAGGCAGAGGGTGTCCTTGGTTCTCAGGACTGGAGGGATTGTTTTGTCACCGTGATATTTTCTGAAAAATCCCTTTGCCCAGGACTTCTCCTGGGATGTCCTTGGTTCTCAAGCCTGGAGATTGTTTTGTCACCGTGATATTTTCTGAAAAATCCCTTTGCCCAGGACTTCTCCTGGGAAGCTGAGAAGCCTCAGAAAAGAATGAAAACAATAATTATCTGATTGCTTTGGAATGTGGTCGGGAGGTTGCTTACCAAGAGGTGCATGTTTGATTGGTTCTGTGTGAACTGTGCTTTCTTAATGACCAATCACCACCATCAGTGTCAGACTCACTGAGGAGTCACGAGTTTTTATTACTCATTCTCGTTAAGCCTTCTGATGTATCCTTTTCTCATTCTTTAGCATAGTTTTAGTATAAAATTTCTTTTAAAATATAAAGTATATAATTTCATGATATGATATAATATGATATGATATAATACGATACAATATAATATATGATACGATATGATGTAACAATATAATGTAACAATATAATATAATATAATATAATGTAACAATATAATACAATATAATATAATATAATATAATATAATATAATATAATTAATATAATATGCCTTCTGAGAACATGGAGTCAGATTCATCTCTTACCTCATCCTGGAACCCTCACAAACACCACATTATTTTGTCTGACCAATATGTGAAGAGAGCTTACTACCACTCTATATGGAGTCCAGTGTTACACACTGATGCAGTACAGGATCTGAAAAATACAAAAAGATCAAGCTTGAACCAAAAGGAAACTCGAACCAAGGGCCGGCGCCATCTCTCTCGGGCGCACAGCGCCCCCTAGCGGCCGCCGCCCCCGCCGCCGCTCAACAGCTCCAGCAGGTGGCGCTGTGAGCCCAGCCAAGGCCCCTCAGGGCGGGACCGCCCGGGCCGGCCACGGCTCGAACGGAACCGCGGCGAGAACGGCAGTGCCGGGCACGGGAAACGGGGACAGCTCATACCTCTGCAGCCTCGGTCACAGTTACAAGATGCTTAAATAGCTTGAGTTATATCAATATAACCTGAATCACGGCGCTCGAACGAGCCCACAGCGAGCAAATGCAGGGCTGGGCAAGCAAGGCAATGACAGGCAAGGCAGGGCTGGGCAAACATGGCAATGCCAGGCACTGGAAACAGGGACAGCTCATACCTCTGTAACCTTGGTCAGCGTTACAAGATGCTTATATAGCTTGAGTTATACCAATACAACCTGAATAATGGCACTCAAATGGAACCCACGGTGAGCAAATGCAGAGCTGGGCAAGAACGGCAATGCCAGGCACTGGAGATGAGGCAGGGCTGGGCAAACATGGCAATGCCAGGCACTGGAGATGGGGACAGCTCATACCTCTGTAACCTTGGTCAGCGTTACAAGATGCTTATATAGCTTGAGTTATACCAATACAACCTGAATAATGGCACTCGAATGGAACCCACGGTGAGCAAATGCAGGGCTGGGCAAGCACAGCAATGCCAGGCACTGGAAATGGGGACAGCTCATACCTCTGTAACCTTGGTCACAGTTACAAGATGCTTATATAGCTTGAGTTATACCAATACAACCTGAATAATGGCACTCAAATGGAACCCACGGTGAGCAAATGCAGAGCTGGGCAAGAACGGCAATGCCAGGCACTGGAGATGGGGACAGCTCATATCTCTAAAACCTGGGTCAATGTTACAAGATGTTTATATAGCTTGAGTTACACCAATAGAACCTGAATAATGGTGCTTGAACAGAACGCACAGTGAGCAAATGCAGAGCTGGGCAAGCACAGCAATGCCAGGCACTGGAAATGGGGACAGCTCATACCTCTGTAACCTTGGTCACAGTTACAAGATGCTTATATAGCTTGAGTTATACCAATATAACCTGAATCATAACTTTCTACGCAATGTAATAGCTAGTATATGGTTAACTAGTTGCTTAATGCTTAAATAAAACAGAAACTCGCCAAGTGAATAATCTCAAAAATAGAGAAGTGTAACTATATCGGGAAGCAGCAGGATGTGCTAATGAGAAATTGGAAAATGTAAAGCCAATTAGCCACAAAATGGAGAATTTAAACTGGTTACAGCCAGCAAGACCAAGGAACACCATAACTGCACACGCTCCAAAGACAAAGAAGGAAGACCTTGAGCCTTCATCGAAGACCCCCAACACCACCTAAATTGGGAAAGCACAAGCTCAGTACAGAACTATTGCTTGCCTAGAACCTCATTGACTCGTCAAGCCATGCCTACACCTTTCTTTCCATGTCTGGCCAAACACTTCCATGCCATACCTTGTCTACCCCTCTTGATTTTTCTTACCCTTCTGTTGCTTTGCCTTTCCTTCCTGTAGAGAAATGACCCTGGCTGGATGCCAGGCTCCTACCAAAGCCTGTCTGTCACTCCCCTCCAGGAATGTGAAGTGGGGAGAAAATATATATTTCATTAATTGAGATAAGGACAGAGAGAGATCTGCTCCGATCCATGGGCCCAGCATCTCATGTCTCCAGACACACTGCAAATTCTCGGTAAAAGCTATTGACCATCCTCCCCGTGCCCGTGTCTGGGCAACAGCCTCTCCACGGCTGTCCTGGAGACACGAACGTTCAGCTGCCAACACCGCGCCGTTAACGGGAGATTAAAGTAACGACAACCTAAGTTAAAAAGCCGGCTCTGGCCGGTTCCGTTACCGTATTTCAAGTCCCCTCGCCCTGCAGTCAGTCACCTTTATCGCAGAGGGGCTGTCACTGCCGGGCCGCGCCGGAGCCCTCACGGCCCGGGGGGCGGGGCTTCAGCTGCCTCTCACGGCCCGGGGGCGGGGCTTCAGCTGCCTCTCACGGCCCGGGGGCTCACGGCCCGAGGGGCGGGGCTTCAGCTGCCTCTCACGGCCGGGGGCGGGGCTTCAGCTGCCGCTCACGACCCGGGGGGCGGGGCTGCAGCTCGCCCGCTCCCCGCCCCGCCCCTCGCGCGGGCGCGGCGACGCGTCACGTGCGCGTGCGTCACGTGCGGCCGTCCCTGGCGGATGAGGTCAGCGGCGGGTCACGTGAGCGGTGCCTACGCGCAGTGGGGCCGGGCGCAGATGGCGGACGCGGAGGCCGAGGCGGCGGCGCGGCCGGAGGTGCCGCGGGTGGTGCCGGCGCTCCGCGCTCGCCTCTGGCAGCTGCAGACGGAGCTGCGCGAGCAGGAGGTGTCGGAGGCCTCCTCCCGAGCCTACTGCCGGGGCTTCTGCCAGGTAGGAGCCGGGCGGGGCGGGCCGCGGCGCGGGATGGAGGCCGGCTGCGCGCAGCGAGGATGCGGCGGGGCAGGCACGGCTCGGCCCGGCGGGGCTGGCACGGCTCGGGGATCTTGAAAATACAAAA